CSCGGCTTTATTATACRAATGCTWTATATTAATCGATAATACAACCATGTAGCTATAATGGATCCGAAGTGTTTCAAATTGAGTTCTTCTAAATTGTTGTTAAGGGTGAAACAATACRCAGGTAAATTCTGTGTCTGATATCATAAAACCTAATTCTAKTGGCAAGAAGAACATTTAATAGCAGCCTTTTGCTTGTCAAAAACCATGTCGGGAATGTTGTTTTGTTGGGCTGCCGCGATCGTTAAACAAGTTAATCACGTTTTGTTTACTTTCTTATCTTTTTTATGGAGAAAAYGAAGCCAATTACAGAGAAACTTCGTCGAGAAAGAATCAATAATAGYCTCGAAGAACTGAAACATCTCATCCTTAGCGCCATGGATGAAGACGTAAGTGTGTTTAGTACCTTAATATTAAAAAAAGACTTCTTCAAAATTGTATTCACAATRTTAGAGCATGTAAATTAAATTGTACTATGACAGGTTCATTGTAACCTCATCTAACCGTCGCTAACAAGAATAGGACTTCAAKAGAATGACCGTGATGTACTGGAGCTGGTCGTATTACGAAAGTCATTGTAACCGCATAAAATACATAATAGCTAGGGTCTAAAATGCRACTGGTCGTTGTATGGAGTTTATCTACTGTGATATGAGATCGTTTTTTCAGTAAGAATTAATAAAGATTCATCCGTCCATAATACGAAATTGTAAAACTCTGTTTCACAGAGATCGGTTTTATTTAAATTATAGTGAAAGATAGAAAATGAACGTATCTAGTGACATGTATCCAATATTTCTTAATATCTTCTTTAGGTGTCTCATTACGCCAAAATGGAAAAGGCTGATATACTAGAAATGACGGTCAAGTACATTAAGAGTTTGCAGAAATCCAGCCATCAAGGTAAACATACGCAGTTTCCATAGTAACACGGCGTGTTTATAATACATCAAATACAGCAATATGAAGAAATTATGATCATTTTGACTCATATTCACTAGTATACAGTATATAAATTACATCAGAAATTATGGAATATCAACGCCAATGTTTTTTTTTTGTTTTTAAGTTGCCTAACACTAGTACTTTCTGGAAATATTATTGGCGATAATATCCCATAATTTCTGACATATTTGATATATACTTTAAGTATGAGCAAAATTTCTGTATATTTCTGTATATTCATATAGTTAAAGAATAAATTATAAAAATGAATAGTGCACATTGACGCYTAACTGTGTTCATATTTACAAAGGAAAAAGTCATGCCCAAGATGAATCAACTCAAGAATCGAACTCAAAYAGAACGGATACCTCTCACATGGATGACCTTCATGGACAASCTAAAACCACCTCGCTTAACCTCGTCTTGCCCGCAATATCAGAACCAGCGGATTTTCAAAGTGTTACCATGGAAACGTCTCCAGTAAATAAYAGGGTTACCATGGATACTGCAAATGYTRCAAATAMACCAGTGTTGTCATCGTCAAGCAGTGAACTTYTGGCTAACGATAAAAATATGAACGTGATTGCAGGAATGGGATTTTCACCGATAGGCAAAAAASGGAACTATCTGCAGTGTGACCRAAATGACAGCAGAAAGGCACTTCTTTCAGTAAGGGAGCAAAATGCAATGAACTCTGGATATCGAAAASAATACTTATCACCCAATAAAGTTGTCACTAACCACACCCAAAAWGTTAGACTTCCTGGGATGGAGTGCTTTATCAAAAACAATTTTAAACGCGACGTCGTTTTCAGAGAAACAGACAAAGAAAATGCYACCGACTTTGATTTCGACCACCAGTACTTTGCAGGCTGGCAGATGTCACCTGACGATAGCCAGTACTCGCTTGCAGTGTGGAGGCCTTGGGGAAAATAGTTCGGAGCCTATGTGATACGGACGACGATCGAGTACCATTTAATTTATATAAAGCAGTAATCTTGAATTGTATCATTAGTATCGCTTCAGTAATACACTATTGGATTTACACATCAGTGACATATTAATAAAAAACGTTTGAGATCTGTAATACAAGGCATAAAATATAAACATTTTTAAAGCTATTTTGAAATGTTAATTATTTGAATCAAAAAAATCATCAAAGAAAGTTATTCCTGGGTACSATTTTTTCAGTAGGTGCGCATTTGCTGTCTGGTCATATGCATCCCAAAAGTTCTTTACGACTGCGAATCAGTAGACTTATTTTTTATCTACAGTTTGTGCTATTTTGTACTATAATCATAATCAGTCACAAAAATGAATAAATGAAAAGCCCCAACTCTATATTAGCAAATCTCGTTTGTTCAACAACATGTTTCGTTTCATACTTTCACCATGCATACCTTGCATATTGCAAGGCCAATGGATGAGGATTGGCACATCCCGGAATGCTTTGCGCCTGTATCTATATGGCACTCACGATTTTGTCGATTTTGTTTTTCATTAACTATTTGAAAAGCGAGGTGGTATGTCCTATACAAACAAAATCACGGATGAAAATCATATTATCTGCTATAGTTTTAGCAAAAGACATAATCACGCATTAATTCGGTTCCATTGTTTGTTAATGCTGAAATTCTTGCTTACCTATATTTCGCACCTTATCCTTTCCACTGAGGAGTTTACTGATGATCAATAATTGTTAAGATTACATCATCTAGGTTCCCACTCCTACTYTTTAAGTATGAAACCAGGATACTCCTTCATATTAACTGTTGCACTCCAAGCACGCTAAATTGAAAAATAAATAAATATATAAATAAAAAATAACAATAATAAATAATAATTTTAGGAATGGTGCATGTTAGAATGGGATCTTCTTTCAATCAAAACCACATGAAGACATATAATAAAGAGTCAGTTTTAACTCACTATATTACAAAGCACCTTTTTTTACAAACATAAACAGAATCTCCTAAGGGGAGCAGGTTTCATGGCCCTCAACAACCTCATTCCCAGGGCCTTATCTCTTTGCTTGAAGGAATAAGGCCCTGGGAACGAGGTTGGGCCCTTGAAACCTAAAATTAGGTCTACTACTAACTCGCAGACGTAATCTACGGGATATTTCACGGTATAACAGCAATATAACAATATATATCTAGTGCCCAAAGAAAAAAAAAATACAGTCATTAGCGACGAAGTAACTCTAAAGATCATTTCCGGGGTTTATAGCCTCCATTTTCTACGTCATCAGCCARTGATAACATAAATAGAATTTTGTAGAAAGTGGCAAAGAAGCYATTTTGAATTAAAAAAGAGCAGAATTGATATTACTATTTAGTTTTTTTTTTATATATGTATTTAGGTTTTTACTATTTAAGTTTTAATGTTTTTATTTAGATTTTTTTGAAGTACCAAACCAATTATATTGAATAATAATAACAACAACAACAACAACAAAAATGTTGCAAAAATGATTATGCATTGGATAAATTAGTAATGCTGATGTAATTATTCATGAGTTTTCAAATATTTTTTTTTTGCAAGAATTACTATATAGCATAAAAAAACTACTGTTGGTCAATAAGAAAAGCAGTGTATAATCCGAAGTATATTACAGACCAGGCGATATAAAGTGCATTTGGCTTGAAGTGGATTTTAAGCTTGGTCAAGCCGTAATACCGTGGGAAAAAATCGGTCCATAACTAAATGCACGTGCACCCCTCGTGACCGARTAAGTTATTAATACATGGATTATGATCTGAATCGTGGGAATTCATTGYMTTTATTAATCGCTAAGCCGACACGCCCAATCCCCAGAAACTGCGCGAGCCCATAATTCGGATGAGCTCGTTTACACAGTCTCAATTGTAAGTAAAAGCGAAATTTAGATAAAACTCGTGAGATTTCTAACCATTTGTCTTCCATACTCACAGGGCTCGTGCGTTTGCACGTGCTGTTAATGAACAAAAGAACATATCACATGGTTTTGAGGCTAACTCAATGTAAACAAATCTCTAAAAGGGTGTATTTCAATTTCACACAATTCTTATAAGAGATTTAATATTTATTTACAAAAATTCATCTCCATCTTTTACAAATGTAGTATTTTTTTATTCTGTTGTATAAAACGACTGTTTGGCGATTGTCACTTTGTTTCTAATTTGAACATGTTCTGACTATTATAGTAAACTTGCGCGCCTTGCCTTTAATTATGTACAATTTTTGATATCTAATTCAAAATCTATTTAAAACACCGATGGATTGATACCATTGGTGTCTTAAGCTATCTAGCCTTACTACAAAAATACAAAAGGAGCAGACGCTTGGCATCCACAAGTTGACAAAATTGTAAGGATTTTCAATCCATGACTTGAAGTACGGCATAATCAAAAACAAGAACTATCAAATAAACATGAGTAATTGGTGCATTATCAGGGTGTGGTTTATCTCTCTCGATCTCGTGCTGGCTATGGAATGTCGCAATAAACAATTATATATTTAGAAACATGCAAGAGTGCGAGAAAAAGCTGCAATATTTTCAGGATTCCTTAGCCAGCTCTAATAAAAAATGTCTAAAATTCAAACTAGTTGACCTATCTATGTAATCAAGGCTTCACCAAGGTCTCCACATTGTTGGTGTAGAAAGTGAAGGCGTCTTTGACGATGTCTTTGTCTTAATACTTTGGGATTCCTGAACCAAAGATTGCTTGTGTTCAGTTTTATGAAACACAGTTGGTTGCGTTCCTAGCGTTGTTTTGTTCGAAGGCGATGGTGGTGGCGATGGAATAGGAACCCATACCACCGCTGGAATCTTTCCTGTTGTCAAGCTAACAGGAGACGGCGAGAGAGGCGCTGTTGAGTTTGGGAGGATAAAAGTAGGAGGATGAGAACTGACGTGAGTGTTACCATGGTAGCCAATGGGAACATGAGTGAATATTTTGCCATGCATTTGTAAGTCGTTTGGCTGAATCGGAGTGGCGGTCGTGGTTGCTGACATGTTTCTCATTAATTCAAGGGAACATTGGTTGTATCCGGCTTGGTATTCAGCCCAAGTCATTGGAGCTAGAAAATACGAAAACACAGTTATAGAACATAATCCTGCATAATAATAAAAAAAAATCAAAGACCGGCAAATTATATCCGACTTATTATTCACCGCTAGTAGTCATTAGTGTCTACCCGACTGTTGCACTATGACTGCTAGACTTTGTTTKTAATCTCCAAGCTGTATGTTTTTAGGACCCCCTATCAGAACGCGTTCGATGAATTAAGGTAAATTAGAGAGGTCATTATATTTAATTAGTAATTTTCCTTCGAAATATTCACACAAAATGGAAGAAGAGGTAATACAAGTAGCCAAAACTCTGATACTGTATTAAAGTCCAAGCAACTTCGTTACTTTTGATTTGTATGAGCTCATTGTTGACATAAGACGCACGGCACTCATCGATTAATCGTTATCGCTTAATTGACAACGTACGCTTTTACAATGAATTGCGTTTACAAAATCCGTTAACTTTATCAAAAATCTCGAAGCTTCAACGGTTCAAATGATTAATTACAGGGCTTTCCCTCATAATTCTAAATCAAAGCCATAGTTTATAGTCCTTTGTTTTGTTTCTGTTTGAGCCACAAACGCGTAAAAAGGGTGTGAGAATTATAATTTGCTAATATATTATTAAACTCAGAAAATAATGATTTTGGCTGACTTTATGTGGAATACAAAGACCTTCAATTCTTACCTCGTTTCACTCTCCCTTGTGAATTCATGTCCCTCAAAAACTTAACAGTCATTTCTAAGATGTCAGCTTTTTCCATTTTAGAATATCGTGAGACCTTAAAACAATAGAACAAAAATCATTAGTCATCAATTGCAATTAACCAGAATCGTTGATTTATCCAAATATTAAAAAACTTCATCGAAAATTTGTGAAAAAGCTCGAATATCAGATAATTCGATGAAACCATTCTTCCCTGAAGTTTACTGAAGCGAGCTAGTTACGCGTTAAGCATTTCTTGTTCTAGAAGCGTCGCAAGCCATGATACAGCACAATTAATTACCCTGCATAATTAGGGTAGCCGTTGAAATGACGTCAGCAGCGCATCATGAGGTCTGATTAATTAGTACTACTCTGATGATTGAGCGAGCAGTATTATAAAATGCTCTTTTTATAACTATTACATATCAAAGAAACTCTAGTTGACGGACTTCCAACTAARGCTTGAACTTTTTTTTTCTTTTGAACATTTACCCACAGCTCACTTACGTCCTTGTTTAAAGACTCCAGAACCAAAATCTTCATTTCATTCAAGCTTGTGTTGATTCTATCTCTTCTAAGTTTTTCCATCAAAGGTTTCTTAGTCTGGAATAAAGAAAATGCGTAATTCAGTTGCAGCAGGCTCCTTAAACAAATCAATAAACTAATGGAAGAGTTAAGATATGATATTATTGTGCTTTTACTGTGATTACAATTCAGGAAAATCAGTGCAAGCTGTAATAATGATTACCAAAATTACTTACATAAAAATGAAGAATATCAATAAATTCTCACCTTTCTACGATCACTGATGATCTTTCCAACAAAGTCATGCTGCTCTGAAATAGCCTGGGAAATATTGCTTTGCAAAGTCGCCATTAATTTTTTTTTTCTCAAGTGAGGTGCTCTCTCTTCGTGTGACAAGGAACAAATGACTCGTCGAACGTATGCATCAATGTGTATATTAAATTGTCCCGTGGGAAAAATGCTTTTGCTTTGAATCATCGATTTTAAATATTTGTAAACACTTAGTTAAAAACAATCATCATAACAGAGCTATACAATCAACCATAGACTCCACAAAGCCTGGACCGTGGGAATGGCCACTTCCTATTGGCTGTAATTAAATAGTCACACGACATCTCAAGGAAACAAAGCGGCGAGAAGCCCATCAGCGCGTGACGAGCGTGAGACTGGTTCACTCTGATTGGCCAATATGGGGTTGACTTTCTTTCTTAATTAGTTCAGAAATACTCCAATTGGAGTTAATAAACGATCCTTTTTTTCTTTTAAATGGAAGCCCAGAAACAATTCTCCATCTAACAAGATTAAACAGTCCTTCTCCTTGAAAAACAAAAGGACAAAAGCGACTAAACATGCTGGATTTGCGGATCGTACATTACTCGTTAAAATTCAATGTTCGTCAGACATTTTTTTTTCTTTTTGAAGTTGTGGAACAACACGTGTACATTTACAGAGATGGCCTTTGTCTTGCATTGTGTACAGACTTCTCGATACTTTTTGTTCGTGGTCACGAGATAAAGAGACCTATTAAAATGACAAAGAGCTGGTGGATTTTCCCACGGTAGATGTTTTAAGATGTCCGAGTGTTTTTGTACGCGAAAAAAAACCTCGCGACAGTTAAGTTTCAACGCTTTCAGATAAAACGTTTTTCATATCTGATCTTCATCAAATATTTAGGAACTTTTTATCAGTCGGTTTGCACTTGTTTCTTTATTTGGAAACTTTAAAGGAAAGTCCACGGCCTCGGCTTCCTGTTTTGACTTTACTAGATTCCTTTTGAGGGAGGTTAGGGTTCGAAAATAGAACACAGCAAGTTGGATGATTCAATCCACGGACTCTTGCTGACTCCATGACGTATTTCGTCAAACTAGAACGCGTAATTTTACATCCCGCGATATTTGAACGCTTTTTAGGAGAAAGTATTATTTCTAAAGTTTAAATTTCCCAGGTCGTAAGAACTACAAAGTTATGCTAAAGCACAAATACCTTAAACATAGTAGGCGGTTTGTTCAACCCCCTGTTCATGAGCAATTGTTTTTGTACCGATGTTTACTGATCGAGTACAAGATATATGGGTTGTTCCGTCAGGTTATTCAATAACATAAAATAGGCGAGATTAGCGGCTACACAACATTAAAAATAACATTGTGTAGATTGCATAACTAGCACACGCTGACTTTGACTAGCTTGCTTGGCATTTGTGACATTATCTTAGCGATGGTTATTTAACAAATGATTAGTTTTCTCAGCGCTTTTGTATCAACTATATGCACTGATTTTTTTATAGACATTTAGGAAGCTTTTAAAAACAACAAAAGATTTAACGATTTTTTGTTTCGTTTTTTTATTTCAACAACGCACAAGAGTCCTTCCAGGAAACCTATATTCCTCGAGAAGTCTCTTGAACCCCACGATGTATTACCTCAAAATCATCTCCATTGAGTTTTAACTTATTATCCCAACATCGATGTAATTAGTAGCCTCAGGGGTGGCAGTCGTCGTCCGACCTGTTCCCATACGCCTGCTGCCTCATTAAAGATGATAACCGTTTTACGCGAGCTAATAACAAAACTCACAAAAAATAACGACCTTATCAATCCCTCACAGCTGGCCCTTTCTTTGTCCACTTAAAAGCCCATTTTCTTCATTGACGGGTAGTGTTTTCTCAATTGAAAGTATGTCAATTATATTAAAAACTCGCCATTTTTTTTCTTAGTGTATTTTGCGAGCTGAATTATCCTAGAGCAGTCTGGTTTTCAAGCGTGCCCGCGCTAAACAGCGGTAAAAATCGCTCGACACGCAGGTGCTGGGCTAAGTTCACAAAGTGATTGTAATTGTTTCTGTTTATGTCTGTATCATGATTTAGTATCAAGTGCTTTTCGTAGAGAACATGTTGAGATTATATGATTTTTTTTAATAGGAAAAAGATAAAACATCTGGAGAAATGATACTATAAAGGAGGCTACATAAAGGTAAAGAAATCACTTCAAGAACGATTGAAGAGAATATACCAATATTGCGTACGGTTTGACGTCAAGTTACCTAAGATAATGTATAGTCGGAATGATTTCTCGATCGATTTATAGAACGTTATCTTATCTTGTAGTTCAGGAGATTATTAAAGATATCTTTTAGTCCTAATATGAATTGTAGATCTTCTTCGTGTCCTTATATTATCTAGTAAATCCACATCAGTGTCCCGGCCGCTCAGCCAGTGTTACAACCCTTTTTTTGTAAATTAAGAATAAATGAAATACAACAAAACTAGTCTTCATCAATTTTATGCAGAGTGTGGTTTGTGGTTCGATAGGTGAAAGGCTTCGAATGATAAGTGTTGTTTGCTATAAATCTAAAACWAAACCTCTCGAAGTCTCTTCTTAGATTTTTTCAAAAGGTTTGCTTTGTTTTTGTTTAAAATAAACCACCTTTTACAAATATAGAAGAACAAGAACAAGAACAAGAAGAACAAGAAGATGACGAACAAGAATAAAACGAACCAAGAAACAACAACAACAAGAGAAAAACAAGAACAAGAAGAAGCACACGAATCAAGGAGAAGAAGAGGCTGACGCGACTATAATAAAGAAGAAATACAAACACCCACAAAGAAAAAAACAACAACTCATACACGTCTAATATATTAAGCCACTAGCTAAGGATATATCAAACCTACACCTAAAAATATAAACTCCATGAGAGCATAAAGTTAAAATATATTTTGGCTCTGGTACTATCACATGATATATCGCGTGTTATCACTGTCTAAAAGGTAAACGACCGAAACATTCAGTAAACATACTATCTTATCTCGAATCTCTTCAACGAATAGCCAAGATCAACGCGTTTTACTGCTCCCGACTTTCACAAATAACAAAAGCATATAGTTCTGATTTTAAACATGTAAATATGAATTTTCACCATCTTGATTTGTAAATGCAATTGACTTCTAAATGTATCCTCTAAATTCAAAAGTTAAAATCTGACTGTTTTCATAGAGCTATTACCGAAACCTGTCTCATTAATATATTGCAATGACAAATTACCAACCACATATTCCTTACTATTAGAGAGGTCATTGTTCCCACGCAAACATGTCAAATTTTATGCCTTTTTAAATCCTTACCAAACCTAAAATTACGTGCAAATTTATATAATCTTAGGTTTGACAATGTCTATTAAGTAAAAGCCAAAACTAGTTACCACCCTGGGTTGACCCGAGAACGATCGAAAGAAGAACTTCGTGTGTAGGGATAGTAATGACGTTATACCGTAATAACCTAACAAACTAACTAATAAACAACAACAACAACAACAACAACAACAACAAAGAATACCGAATACTGTGGCACTGCATAGGGCGCGCGCTGTGGCGTGACAAGACGGAAATGAATTGTTTCTCAGTTGAGGATCCAGGGGGGTCCATGGGTTCCTAGGAACCCCCCTCAAGCATCAAAAACAAAATAAATATAAAATAAATGATAAATTGAATAGAATGAAAACGCATTGTACAATGAATCTTTATTAAATACATTCACACTACATTTGTTACAGTTTGAGAGGCACAGTAAAAAAGTTCGTTTTAGTAAAATGCGAAAACAAATTGGAACCCCCTTTTGAAAAATCCTGGATCCGTCACTGCTTCTAATGACACTGCTAAGCTACAGTTACTTTTTATTGAATGTCTTCAGTCACTGTATGGAGATGGTATGTAAAATAGCTGTATGGTATAGATTATGAAGTTCTTCGTTGTATATGTACAATATTATGTTATTATAGCTTCAAGCTTAGAGAGCCAAACTTGATTTTAGCTGTTTTGTTTTCATAATTTCGATTCCCATGACGCCGGTTTTCCGACTGACCAGAATTTCATTCTAAAAAGTGTACTCTTGGGAATCGCTTGAAACAAAAACAAAAACAAAAACATGACTTATCTTAGTTAACATATGTGATATACAGAAAGAGAAAGCGATCCGAAAGTTATTTCAAAACAAGACTGTCCATGAGTGGAATCGGGGCATTTCCTGCTTGAATAAAAAGGAAAAACGAAAGATGCGTTTGCAGTATAGATTCTTTGATCTCTTGCTTGAAWTTCTACTCAGTTACGTGGTAAAAACGAGCAATACGCAAATTCTTAAGCCTACGTCACTGGAAAAAAATGTGCGCTGGTTATAAATTTGATGTAAATATGATGTAAGTGTCCAAAATTCTGTAAATTTAATGGAAATCATTTACATCAAATTTACAGAATTTTGGACACTTACATCATATTTACATCAAATTTACAACCTTTAAAGCGCGCGATTTTTTTTCCAGTACGTATGACACGCTGCGATCTGATGTCTCGTTTTATTAGATTAGAACTCCAATCAAAGATCATTTCAATCATGAATGAACTAATTAGCTTTAAACGTAGATGATTTCCTAAAAGTTGATCAGGACTCTTTAGGTGGGCTCTTTTCTTTTCCATTATCAACAAAGATCAAATCGATATAAGAGAAGTTCCGACAATATTTCATTAGCATATAACTGTATCAAACTGTGGAAGTAATGCTAAAAAAGTGGAAAAACTCTTATACTTAAGGCTGGTTATATAGTTGCTTTTCAGGCGAATCCAAAGAGATAAACGAAGTCTTTGAAACAAAACACTTCATCATGCCAAAGAAATAGGGTACCACACGACAGTTTGATCTGTGTGAATCTAAAACAATACTAATGCAATTTTGTAGTCAATTGCAGTCTTCATGGTCTTGAAACTGGAAAACAAAGCCGCTGGAAGAGCTTTAACCCCCTCTCGTGAAACCGCTGCACACGCCCCTATTGAATGTTAAACTTTGACACCTGACCGGCCGTCGGCTCTCTGCACGACGCATTTCTAATTAAACTGGTCAAATCAAGAAGAAAAAAAAGAAACCTGTTATATTTTTTATTCATTAGAACAATTTAAAAGTGA